GTTCTGAGGAGGGGTCACCGGACCCGAAACGTTAACTCTGTTTTTTCCTTCACAGATGCTGCCAGAACTGCTGAGCTTTTCCAGCAACTTTGTTTTTGTTCCCGATTTACAGCAGCCGCAGTTCTTTCGGTTTTTAACACTGTAGAAGTGTCTGCCTACACAGACGCCTTCCCGTTCTGCGAGCAGCAGCAACCCCCAACAAGGTTTCTATGCGTTCTCGGTATATCTCTGGACCCTTCTTCAGAAAAAAAAACTGAAGAAGGGTCCAGACCCAAAACGTCAGCTTTCCTGCTTCTCTGATGCTGCCTGGCCTGCTGTGTTCCTCCTGCTCTACACCTTGTTATCTCAGACTCCGGCATCGGCAGTTCCTACTATCTCTCGGTATATCTCTGTTTGTCTCTTTCTCTGTTTCTTTGATTCTCACCTCTAACCCTCTCCTTGTTGACGTTCTCTTTTAGCCGTTGTTTTAAAATTATATTTCACAACTTTTTTTTTGTTGGGTATGTTTGGAACTGCGGTTTTTCAAAGCAAAAGTGTATGCTCCACAGGTTGTGTCGACTAGCAAAGGCTCTCTTCCCTCCCAATCACCCCAATAAGAGATTACAGTGGAAAGAAGAGATGATAGGATGGGTGGGTGTGGTGGAGAGGTATGGAGAGACAGTAGGTTGAAGGATATGGTGAGACAGCGAGGAATACTGTGAGACAGTGGGTTGAAGGATACGGTGAGACAGTGGGGGGTTGAGGGATATGGGGAGACAGTGAGTTGAGGGAGATGGTGAGACAGTGGGGGTTAAGGGCTATGTGAAAGGATGGGTTGATCTGTCTGTTGAGATTAGAGTCTTTGTGGACTGAATTTGCATATAGAGGATATATTGACTGGGGTGGATTTGAGTTTAACACTCAAGACATTCAGTGTCTTCAAAAGGCAGTCAGAGCTGAAACCATTTTTAATCTCCTGTCGCTGCTCAACTGTTGCCACGGCAACATGGCACATTTCATAGAAAGCCCAGGGAGAAAGCCAAGGAACGTAAAGCGGTCTGTGCTTGTCCTGCATTCAGTGTCTCGCTTACAAAGAGCTTGTGTTTAGTGCAATGAGGGCTGCCTTCGGTTCTTTCACTATCCCTTCGCTAGCATTGTGAACACTCTCATCTTCACCTCTATTGTTCACTGCCTCTCTTTAACATGGAGCTGAATGGTTAACAATACCAACAAAGGAAACTGGCGAAAGAGTACACTGAGTGTTTAACAAAACACAGCGTCAGAGATTAGGAATGTTCAACCAAAGCTCTCTGCTGTCGACTGTTATAAATTGGCCGATTCGACCGCAAATTTTAATTAGCCTATTTTTTCACTGATGTAAGATAGACTCTATAATTAGGTCAGTTTGAGCTTCCTGGCAGCGAGTGTGCAGCTGTGACTGAGGCTGAAGAGTGCAAGAGTTTAACCCTGTGAAGACAAATCGCTCCCTGACGTTTCTTATCTCCACATCTTCAGCCACCTCACATTAACAATAACCCCACTCGATTTTTTATACAGTATTAATCCCATGAGAGCAATCTGGAGTATTTCAGGTGATGGGGTGGAAAATGGCCTTGGACAAGGTAGTCACTGATGCCCACAGTGTGCAGAGTCGGATTAATTGGGAGCAAAGAGTTGAAAATATAAACCGAATTGAGAGAAAGATGGAGGGAAAGCGTGGAGGAGAAGATGAGACTTTTAAAATGGAGGCTGCAGAGAAACATGGATCCTCACTTAATTCCTAGCGGGGATTCTCAAATGGTTTTGTACCAGAATTGGCTGCTTGTGGTCAAGTTCTTACACATTACTTGTTGGAAAGAACTCCACTTCATTCACAAACAGCAAGTAAAAAGAATATCTCTTAGACCACAGTGACATCTGCTACATGTGTCATAGAAACAGAAATCTGGAGCAGGAGTAAGCCATTACACCCATCAAGTTTGCTCTGCTATTCAACATGATCTTGGCTGATCCTCTATCTTACTAAAATATTCCCACTCTGTCCCCATACCCCTTGATATCTTTAGTCTCTACAAATCTACCTTTATCCTTCTTAAATATTTCAGTTACTTGATCTCCACAGCCTTTTGTGGTAGAGATTTCCATAGGATCACCATGCTCTAAGTTAAGGAAAGTCTCCTTATCTCAGTCCTAAATGGTCTATCATATATTCTGACACGCTGTCCCTTTGTTCTGGACTACCCAGCCAGGGAACAACATCCCTGCATCCAGTCTGATCAGCTCTATCAGCATTTTATAAGTTTCAATGAGATCCCTTCTCATTCTTCCAAACACCAGTGAATACAATAATGACCAACCTGCTTTGCCATGCCTTAAATTTCTCTCTTTCCATTTACCTCCTCTAGTTTAAAGAATATTAAATATATACCAGAGACCTTACCTTATCTCTTACTCTGACTCTAAACCAAAGAGCAATTTTTACTTTAAAGACTGGACAGTAGAAATACTCATCAGGTCTTACTTACCTAGGCCACCATTTGTCCCAAGCTGGCTAACAGATCCACTCAATGGAACTTATTCTCTCCTTGCAATGTTAACTCTTGAATATTTTAAAAATGCACTCCTCATGTGCAGCTAGTCAACCCCTGGTCTCCTTGAGGCTGAAGATAGATTAAGTGAAGGGAAAAGACCACATCAATTCCCTTCTCACCAAACTCCCCTCTTACCAAATTCGCTGTGTTACCACTCTGGATCATACCACCAAAGTGACAACTGTGATATGAGTGTAATTCATAAATGATCTGTGCCGGACCTAAATGTGTGTGCCATCTGTATTCATGATCGAGGACCTGATGTAGGAGAATGGGAAAGTCTGTATGGATTTTAGTGAAGCTGGCATGGGAGAATTGGATCAGACAATGTGCGCGATGGATAGCTGGTATGCAAAAGAGGAACAGAATGTGGTTTGTTATTTGTAGGTTCAAGCCCCACTCCTGGTACTTGAAGACATAATATAGTCTGACATTTCTGCAAAGTACTGAGTGAGTCTGAAGCATCAAACTTTGTGTTGGACTTTAAACTGGATCTTTTAGTACGATACAAAGATGAGCAAGAAGTTTGCCTGGTACCCTCCCTCAATAAATGTTACCAAAATAAAGTATTAACTGGGTCACCTGTTGTTTGTAGGATGTTGTTGGTGTGGAATAGCTGCCATATTTCTCCCTATAAAATAGTTATTGCAGCTTCAAAGTAAGTGGTTTTGTGAAATGTTGATAATATTACTTCTCTGTGACTCCAATATAAATACTGCATTATTGGCTCTCATTTGGAGTCTGATATTTTGTTAAATGTAACTGGGTGTATACTGAAATTTCTGAGATTGGCAATCCCCTAGTGATATGCCATGTTCAGCCTGTATCTACTGTTCAAGTTACCACTGTCACTGCATTTTTCTTGCCTTCACTATTTTAGAAAATATTGGGAAGTACTTGCTGAATGCCTGCTCCCTGAGACTTTGGGTTGTGTTATAACTTGGTGTTATGGACAATAAGTTTCCTATCGCAAGAAGGCACTTTTTTTTCACCATCACTCCTTGTTACTGCCTGGGTCAGTCTCACATACTCAATTCTTTTTACAATATTCTTTCTGTTTTTTCTCTCTGCAGGAACCAAAATGGCTTTAAAGTTTTTGAATAAAAACAAAACAAAGCTGAAGAATTTTTTGAAAGAGTACAGCATCACTAACAATCTCTCCTCCAACCCCTTCATCATCAAGGTCTTTGACATTGTCTTTGAGACTGAAGATTGCTATGTGTTTGGTCAGGAGTATGCTCCAGGTGGAGATTTGTTTGACATCATCCCTCCCCAGGTGAGGGACTAGAAATTTCCAGAATCATTTTTAGAAATAAATAAAATGTTGGTCCAATCTTGTGGCCATAGAAGCTGCTTCAGGTCAGACACAGGTTAATTACCATTTGAGCATAGTTAAGGGTTGTGAACAGCTGTTTCTATTTCATTATGAATATATTAGTGGAAACAGCATTGTCAAGGTGAGTAGTAGAGTCTTTCCAGACCCATTCAGTGGGAAAGTGGCTGCTTGTTTTTGGAGGTATGGTGTGTTAGGATTGCTATTGCAGTATAGCTAGCTGTCATTGCTTATCTGCTCTCTCAACTCAAATGCTGTTGTGTTGGATTTCAATGAGAGGCCCTGGCGGGACTTTAGTGCTTCCACAATTCCAATTCATTTCTTTTGATTCTGAACCTTGGCCTTTACTCTCTCTAGAACATGACCCACGATGTAAAGCTTTCATGTTTATATCAGTAATGCTTTGTGAAGTGTCAGAGCAGCCAGTAGAGACCATCCTGATAACATAACAAGTAGTCTTTGGTGGTTCACGTAAAGCCAGGTCAATAAAGGCAAAACCACTCCCTGGATGACATGTCCATGCTGGGCCTCCTCCACTTTCACAATGACGCCAACCGGAAACTGGAGAAGCAGCACCTCACATTCCACCTTGGGAACCTACAACCCAATGGGCTAAATGTGGACTTTACCAGTTTCAAAATCTCCCCATCCCTGGCCTCATCCCATGACCAACCCTCCCTCTCATCCCTGCCTCCTTGACCTGACGCAACCTGTCCATCTTCTCTCCCACCTTTCCACTCCTCCCACCTCACTGACCAATCCCCACCACTGCTGACCTGCACTCACCTATCACCATCCCAGCTACCTTCCCCAGCCCTACTCCTCCTCTCTATTTATTTCGGAGATCCCTTCCCCGTACCCCATTTCTGAAGAAGGGTCCTGACCCGAAACGTCAACTTTCCTCCTACTCTGATGCTGCCTGGCCTGCTGTCTTCCTCCAGCTCCACACTGTGTTATCTCTGACTCCAGCATCAACAGTCCACTGTTAATCTCTGAAAGAGTAACTTGCACTTCAGCCATCCTGGTGTGTATGTTCACCTTAAACCTATGCCCTCTGGTTTTGGACTCCCCGATCCTGGGAAAAAGCCCATGTCTATTCACACTATGCATGCCCCTCAAGATTTTATAAACCTCTATAAGGTCACGCCTCAGCCTCCAACACTCCAGGGAAAACAGCCCCAGCCTAGTCAGCCTCTCCCTATAGCTTAAACCCTCCAATCCCAGCAACATCCATGTAAATCTTTTCTGCACCCTTTCAAGTTTAACAACATCTTTCCTATTGTACGGAGACCAGAATTGAACACAGTATTCCAAAAGTGGCCTAACCAATGTCCTGTACAGCCATAGCATAACATCCAAACTCCTATGCTCAATGCACGAACTAATAAAGGCAAGCGTACCAAATGCCGCCTTCACTATCCTGTCTAACTGTGACTCCACTTTCAAGGAACTATGAACCTGCACCCTGAGGTCTCTTTGTTCGGCAATATTCCCCAGGATCCTACCATTAAGTGTATAAGTTTTGCCATTATTTGCTTTATCAAAGTGCAACACCTCACATTTATCTAAATTAAACTCCATTTGCCAATCCTCGGCCCATTGGCCGATCTGATCAAGGTCCCGTTGTACTCTGAGAAGTGAGGGAAAATGCAACTGTCGATGAACAACTGGAAATCAGTCTGTTAAAAATGAAACATTTAATTTCTTTCTATGTGGAAACTCTGTAAAGAATGGAAAATTCCCTCATCTTAATAATAACTGTCAGCTGTGGCATGAAAATGTCCACAGGTTAGATGAGTACAGTTAAATTACTAATTGTCACTAGCCAAGTTCCATCAAAATTAGTTGTTAAAGTAAACTGAAAATCAAACTCTGATGAGGTTCTTTGCACTGCACCTCTTTGACATGTTCTGAATGATGATTAAGGCACTGGTTTTAAAACAATTTGACTTCTAAGAGGGAGAATAATTTCTAAAATGCCAGTTAAAAAGTCGCTGAGGTAGTGAATGCATTGGTTTTAATTTTACAAAATATCCTAGATTTTGGAAAGGTCCCATCAAGTCAGAAAGTAGTAAATGTGATTCTTTTATTTAAGACAGGAAACAGGAAAGTACACGCCAGTTAACTTAATACCTGTTAAAAGGAAAATGCTACAATTTATTTTTAAAGGAGGCTATAGTAAGGCACTTTGAAAATCTCAATGTAATTTGGCAGAGCCTACATAGTTTTATGAAAAGGAAATCATGATTGACTGATTTATTGAAGTTCCTTGAAGAAGTAACAGACAGTGGGAACCTTTGGATGTGCTGTAGTTAGACTTCCAGGAGGCATTATTTAAGGTGTCATATCAGAAGTTACTTCATAAAATAAGAGCTCATGGTGTTGGAGTAACATTTTAGCATGGACAGTGGGCTGGTTATCCAACAGGAAGCAAAATGGATAATTTTCAGGTTGGCAAGTGGATTACCACATGATTCAGTGCTGGGACCTCAACTGTTTATACCTAAATTTTGGATAAAGAGACTGAATGTATGGTTGCTAAATGTGCGAATAACGCAAAGGTAGATAGCTTAAATAACTTGTGCAGAAGACATGTGGAGCCTGTAAATTGATCTCTAGGTTAATGAGTTAAGTGAAAATTTGGGCAAACAGAGTAGAATTTGGGATAATGTGAACTTACTTACTTTGGCAGGAAGAATAGATAAACAGCATACAATTTGAATAGAGAGAAAATGCAGAACTCTGAGGTACAGAGTGATCTGGGTATCTTGGTACATAAATCACAAGAGGCTGGTGATTTGAACGACAACAGAATGATGTAATTACTTAGTGGAAAATAAAATATAAACGTAAGGATGTTTTGCTCCAATAGAGAGTTTTTGACATTCTCTTCCTCAGTGGTGGAGTTTGGCTAATTGAATATTTTTAAGGCAGAGGTTAATAGATTCTTGACCACCAAGAGAGCCAAATAACCCAGGGTGTAGGCAGGGAAGTAGAGTTGAAAACACTGTCATAGAGTCATACAACACGGAAACAATCCCTTCAGTCCAACCAGTCCAAGCCGACCATAATCCCAAACTAGACTAGTCCCAAGTGCCTGCCATTAGCCCTCGAAACATTTTATTCATGTACCTATTTAAATGTCTTTTAAATGTTATAACTTCATCCACATTCACCATTTGCTCTGGCAGTTCATTCCACACACGAACCACTCTGTGTAAAAAAAGTGCCCCCCATGTCTTTTTTAAATCTTTCTCCTCTCACCTTAAAAATATTCCCCCAGTCTTGAAATGCCCCACACTAGGGAAAAGACACTCACCATTCACCTTGTCTGTAGCCCTCATTATTTTATAAATATCTATAAGGATACCCCTCAATCTCCCATGCTCCAGTGAAAAAAGTCCCAGCCTATCCAGTCTCTCTTTATAACTCAAACCCTTCATTCCTGGCAATATCCTGGTAAATCTCTTCTGAACCCTCTCCAGCTTAATAATATCCATCTTATAACAGGGAGACCAGAACTGGGCACAATACTTCAGAAGAGGCCTCATCAATGTTCTGTACAACCTCAACATAATGACCCAAATCAAAGGTCTGAGCAATCAAAACAAGCATGCTAACACCTTCTTAACCACCTGATCTACATGTGTTGCAAACTTCCAAGAATTATGTACCTGAACCCCTAAGTCTCTAGTCAGATTAGCCAGATCTTATTAAATGGCAGAAAACATTCAAAGGGGCCAAATGACTTACTCTTGCTCCTAATTCATATATTCATAAGATATGTAACCTTGGCTGCACAATCATTACTTGAAAGGGTTAAAAACTGGGAGAGGTGAAACCTGGGGCTGGCCACACTTAATTAACTCTTGTTTCTGTGCAGGTGGGTCTACCTGAGGACAACGTGAAACGCTGTGTGCAGCAGTTGGGTTTAGCTATTGACTACATGCACAGTAAGAGTCTGGTTCACCGGGATATAAAGCCAGAAAATGTCCTCCTTTTTGACAAGGAGTGCAGACGGGTGAAGCTGTCTGATTTCGGGATGACACGCAAAGTTGGCTGCAGAGTGAAGCGCATCAGTGGGACCATCCCATACACAGCTCCAGAGATCTGTCAAGCCAACAGGACTGAAGGCTTTTTAGTTGACTGCAGCATTGATGTCTGGGCTTTTGGTGTTCTAATCTTCTGCATGCTGACTGGGAACTTTCCTTGGGAGGCTGCCATGTCATCTGACACATTCTATGAGGAATTTGTGCAGTGGCAGAGGGGCCGGCTGAATGGGTTTCCCTCACAGTGGAAAAGGTTCACAGATGCAGCCCTACGAATGTTTCAGAGGCTGCTGGCTGTTGATCCAGAGAAAAGATGTTCTGTCAAGGAAGTGTTTTATTTTCTGAAATGTGACTTGATGGTAGAATTGAGGAGGAGGCCTTCTTATCGATGTAGAACGCATTCGTCTGATAAGCCAGCACACAAACACGAGGGATCCAGCCCCAGCATGCCCACTCCGCTGAGAAGAAGCCTCCTGTCAGAAACAGCAAGTTCCAGATTCACGTCCACATCCACAGAGTCAAGTTCACACCCATCCGGAAGCAGGATGGAGGGAAGACAGGACAAGGGCAAAGGTCGAATGATTGTTGCCACGGCGATTGAAATTTGTGTTTAATTTTCCAATCCTCTTGTAGGTGTACACTGTTATGGGGAGAGGAGGGGAGAGGAGAGTGGTGTGCTATGATTTTCAATCTTTAGACCCTTCAGCTCTGGCAATGAAATCTTACCCCATGCTCCATAATAGATATTAGATGGGTTCATTGTGCAGAAAGTCCCTCCTCCCTCGCTCAGTGATAAAGTTTACAAACTGTCTCAAAGGTGCAAGCTACTTTTGGGAGAGGGGAGAACTCAGTTAGGTACAGGTCCTTGATCTCTGGAAACAGTGTTTATGTTCAGCCCAGAGTAATAGTATAAAAATGTCCTGTCTTTTGGCTTCAAAAGTCCTAAATGAAATAAGTTCATTGAGAATCAATTTAACTCCTAGTTGTCACTGACTTACAGAACAAAATTGTCCATAATTTAGCATTATATGTCATAAAACCAATTACCTGGCCATTATCCAAGTGAGTTGTGAGGTGAATTGATTATGAAGGATTTTCACAGCCAAGCTTGATTCTGTTCATTCTTGATATGTGTGTGCGTGGGCTTGCTGATTGAGCATAATGTGTCTCCGTTCCACACTGGGCTTGCCTACTAGGCCTTCAGAGGGAGCTCTTTGTGTTTAAAACACAGCACATTAGTAAATACCTGAGCAGTAGTTTTAATGACTTAGAGAACAAGCAAACCATTTGGCACAAGAGGCCTAGTTATTTTAATTGTTCAGACATGTTATGATGCACCTCCAGCACAGGTGGAACTTGAACCCACACCTGCTCAGAAGCAGGCATACCACAATGGTATCAAAAGAGCCCAACGCTAGTGTTAATGCTTCTCACAAGCCTCCTCACTCATCTTTTCATCTCATCCAATCAACATATCTTCTATTTCTTTCTCCCTCATGTACTTATAAAAAGTTGACAATAATTCCATCTTCTGTTGTAATAGGCAACTGTTACACCTATTATCACATGAAGAAACCACTGGTTCCAATATTAAGAATTAATCTATTTTTTGGGACATTACAAATCGTTGAAGATTTGTAAAACATATGGAGATGCTCTGATAGTAGCATCTCTGGAATTTCCAAAAGATATTACTTTACAGATGATTGCAGATTAGATTTTAATCTCTTGGCAAGACCAAGGCACCACCTTTGTTACTTGAATAGAGGATTTCAGTGTTGACTGTGAGGTATCATAACTCCACAACTACCTTTTTATTTGATTTTCTAATTCTGTAAGTGTGTTTCAGGAAACTGATCATGATTAAATGGGAGCAGTTCCTTGGGATTATGTGTGTTTTTAGATGGTTTCAGCTCCTGGCTCCTTAAGAGTCATCATGTACCAACACAGCTTTGCTGATTCATTAGTCTTCAGCAACTTCTGCCCATTGGTCTATTTATGCACCCAAATATTTTTCTTTTGCCCCTGCAGTATGTAGTTAGTGAGGCTGCCTTTATCCTTGGGTTCACCCTTTGATTGTAAAGACTTCATTTTGCTTATAAAATAGAGTATTATATTCTGTTGACAATGATCTGAAGCCCCACGTCTTTATTAGAATATCTGCAAGCTTTTAAGAATTTCAATCATACTTGCATATGGTTTGCCGAGGATGACTATATCATCCATAAAAATATTAATGATTAGTAATCAAATAATATTGTTCAGTTTCATCTTCACTCTTCTAATTTCCTGTCCAGTGAGCATGTCAAAGGATCCAACTACATTTGATAAATAATAGCTATAGTGGATTGTGTTGCTTGACATTCTTCTTTGTGTGAATGGAGTCACTTTTGATTTTGTTCCTGTCTATAACTGTAGTTTTGTCCAGTTTTCAACTAGTTGATTTAATCCTTTTTGCACTGTCTTGAAATCAGTACTGTTTTATTTAAAATCATGGCTACTGATTTGGGCTAGAGAGTGTGGTTTTGTCTTCTCTGTTTAAGTTTTCAGCTAACTAACCTTTATATACCATCTGGTCAAACAGAACTCATCAACTTTATGCCTTTCAGTACAGTTTCAGTTCCTTTCTACTTGTGCCCATCAGTTTGATATATGAGCTATGTAAACAATGGATCTCTTGATTATAATCCTGTCATTTGATGTACTTAGCTTTGTTGATAAACAGGAATTGAAAAATTGCTTGATAATAGGAAATTTTGATGTGGTTAGAATCCCTATGTTTTTATGGGCTAATCTTCTTATGACATTTTGGTATAATGTCATTATAATTTTTAAGTGTCCTTTTCAGCTACCCATGTCTTTCTTGCACTGGATTTGAGTGCTGTACCAATTATGACACTTTTTGTTGTGACCAGTCTTCTCTTGTGGTACTTGCAAGGTTTTGTTTTGTCATTCCCTAGCACTATCACTGTAATGCTCTTGATTAAGTCTATCATGGAGACAGCAGACTCCTCCTTTTACTGAGCAATTCATCAACTTGTGTCAGATGGTCATCAAGATCTGTCTTGGTCGGTTTATTACTTCAACATAATGTGTAATTTGAGTGCGATCAGTGTCAGTGTGGAAGAAGGCATTCATCGAAAATCTACTTACTAGTTTTAGATTTCTATATGTAGAATTTTTCTTATTTATGTCACAGCTCCCTTGGAACTGTTATTCTAATTAAATCAGAAGAGCTATTTCCTCTTCTAACAATTGAATTATTACTGGATTTTTTGTTTCTAAGGCAATTGTTTCTTGTTCCTCAGTGCAGCGTGTTGATCTCTTGCATACTGTCTGAATCCTGAATGGAAATTTTTGTTCATGTTTTCACAGGGGAAAACCACCTTTGTGTATGAACAGCCCTCTGCCTTTATATTTGGTGTAATGGTAGGCTACCAAATGATCACTGTTCCTATTGCATTTGGTTCAGCTTTAAATGTTTTAATTTGATGCCTTTTTTCAAGGTGCATTGAGAACATACCAATACTTTGGTACATCTCTTTGCCCTTGTGATGGGTTGTGAATTCTAGTATCAACTACATAGTTTGGTTGCACTTGGGGTCTATTTTGTTACCTGCATAATAGGTATTTTTGATTGATGTTCTAGAGTTCATTGTGGTATTGTCTGTCACCATTTCAGGTCTCATGATTTCGTTCAGGCTTTCAAGCTTGCATCCTCCACCTCACTCTCATTTGTTACGCCACCTACTGTCTCTCCAATGACTGCGGATCTGACAGCTGGATCAGGTGCCTTTGGGGCAGTTTGTATAATTTTACTGATTTCACATCTTCTTCACATGTCTGGTGGAAAAGGAGATTGCTAATCTAGCAGGCTGGATCTAACAATTTGTGTTTTATGCAGTTTGCTGCTTGCTATAACTAATGCACTTAATGGGATGTTATTGTTTGAGACGCGCTTCCAGCAGTGGGATTGACATAATAGAATCATCCGTGCATTTTGCTTTAACATAGGTTGCCCCACATTGTGGGGGTAGTGATCTATGCAGATCACCATCCGTGCTGTATCCTTTGAAAGTCATTTTAACTAATAAATAATTGTTGTTATGAGCTGGATCATAGGGAGGCACCACTCACTGTAGTTGGTGAGAACTTGGAAGATGATTACAGATTTTGTTACTATCTAGACTGATCCCATTTAAGAGAGCCTGCAGTCCCTCAATCTAGTCTCATTTGTAAGGACAAACATTTTATTTTGAATGGTTTAGAGGAATATTCCCTTCATGTACTAATTTTACAATTTATGTGGACATGGTCTTCTTTTGTTATCTCCCCTCTAACCACATCTCCACTGAGTGTATTATGAATAGTTCCTCTTCTGAAAAATAGTGCACAATCCTGAAATCTTTGTGTGAAAGAAATACTTACATTTATGTAGCACCTTTCAAAACCACCAGGCATGTCAAATGCTTTATAGACAGTGAAGTACTTTTGAAGTGCAGTCACTTTTGTACTGTAGGAAAAGCAATAGCAATTTTTGCACAGCAAGTTCTCTCAACAGCAATGTGATTAAGACCGGAAAATCTGTTTTATCCATTATGTTGATAAAGGCATAAAGTTGGTCAGAAACCAGGGAGAACTGCCCTATTTTTCTTCAAAATAGTACCATTGGATATTTTACATTGACTGTAAATTGTAGACTGGGCTGTAGTTCAATGTCTAATCCAAAAGGTGATACCTCCAATGGTGCAGCAGTCCTTCAATGTTGCATTGCAGTATCAGCCTTGAATTTAGTTTAAAGCTGGAGCAGGATTTGAGTATAGAACCTGTGACTTAGAGAATGCTGCCTAAAGAGATATATATATATATGCTGGTGGTTAGTTTATTGGCTCATTTATCAATACCAGGCTTTTCCCAATTACATTTTTGGTTTTCAAGTTTGCTATTTTACCTAAAATTAAATGAAGAACTGTGGATACTAAAGATCTGAAACACAAACAGAAATTGCTGCCAAAACACATCAGGTCCAGCAACTTCTGTGGGACGAAAGCAGAATTGACGTTTCGAGTCCGGTGACTCTTCATCAGAACCCAGTCACCGGGCTTGAAATTTTAACTCTGCTTTTTTTCCACAGATGCTGCCAGACATGTTGAGTTTCACCATCAATTTCTGATTCTGTTTGCCATTTTATCTTGACTTCGGTATGAAACAATGAAAAATTAACTGATGAAAGAAAAGAACACATCTATACAATAAACAGGCTTGTGAGCAGCATCCCTACCACTGCCACCCCCAATCTGAGGAGAACCGGTAATGTTCCTGCCAGTCACTACCAGAGTCAAAGAGGTGATAGAACAGACCATTAATGGGTAGTAACCAGATACTGACAATGTACAAACACACCATCTTCACATTCCCAAAGAAAAGGCACTTAGAAAGTGAATCAAATAAAATGTCCTTACCATGGAAGCATCACTCACATGCTCAAATTCAATATAAACTAAGATTGCCCCCTTCCCCACTCCAAGTTAAAATGTGTTGCTACTATTTAACTGGGGAATAGAGTAATTAACTTTTCATTTTCTCTCACCACCTGCTTCTTATTCACCACCAT